CCCCCCCCCCCCCCCCTCCCAGCAGGCACCTGGCATTCTCAAAATGAGCCATCGGCAGAGGCGGCCCGCATATTTTGCTGCAACTGCCGATTTTGCAGCAGGGACTCATGTGACCTCTGATCAGCTGCTTGGGGCAGGTTCTCTAGGAATTTGGGAGTATTGTAAAGTCTTCTGCGACACTCTGTATTGAATAGAACTTGTATTGTGGCTTTTTTGTTGTCCAGCTTACAGAGTGAGAGAGAAATTTGATTTCGGGATGCGGCTTCAGCACTTGGCGTAGACGGGGAAATACAAGCTTTGTGTTGTAGACAAGAGGGTAGAGTGTGAGGACAGTCTGCAGAATGACATTGTAGCATAGTGGAGCTCTAATTAAAAAAAAGGGATTCCAACCATTCCCGTCTCTCTCTCCAAAACTAAAAAGTGTTTTGGCTTTCCGTAGACTGTTGCCGGGTTATTAATTTAGCAACAATCTTCCCGTCAGATTATATGTTGTATTTTCTGCATTTTATTTGCCTGTAAAATCCTCCCTTGTGTAGACTCAAATCTTTTTGACATTTCAGCAAAAGCACATCAATGAATACGGTCGGATCTTCAAGTCCCACTTCGGCCCCCAGTTCGTGGTGTCCATCGCCGATCGCGACATGATCGCGCAGGTCCTGCGTGCCGAGAGAGAAGCGCCGCAGAGAGCCAATATGGAATCCTGGCAGGAGTATCGAGACCTCAGGGGGCGATCCACAGGCCTCATCTCTGCGTGAGTACCATGTACCGGCCTGTGTCTGTGTGACAGGGATCTCGTAGACCTCAGTCAAATATTTAAAAAAAGTTTTATCCTTGCAGGCTGAGTAGGTAGACTGTGTGGACCTTAAACATTTTTTGTTTTTAAATTAAATATTTTTGGGAGTGTGACTGTCTCTGGTTGTCTTTGTATGTCAGTGTTTTTGAGGGCCCGTTCACACTAGTACACTGCGTTAAAGGAGAACTATGGGATTAAGGCTTTTCCCATAGTTCTCCTTAGGGTATCGGGAGGACACAAACTAGCGTCCTCCCGTCACCCTAGGCTCAGTATACAGCTCGCGGTATACTGAGACGCCGCAGGTGAAGCGGATCCCGACAGCTGGCTCTGCCTATCTAGAGGCAGAGCCAGCTTACCCGCCCCCTCCGTTCTGCCAGTCAGCGCTGGTGGATCGGAGCGGGGAGGGGGAAATCCAGCCCCTCCCCTGTTACGGCAGAGAGCCGTGACAGGATCGAGAGGTGAGCGAACGCCGGTATGTGTTCGCTCACCTCCCGTTCTACTGAGCCGACCTGTGACAGTCTCATTGTCACAGGTCGGCTAGAACTATGAGGTGAGTGAAAAGTTCATAGTAGGGCTGGACAAATCCCAGGAGCCAGATCACAATTGCTCCTTTAGGCCTCATTCACGGGGGGGGCGTCCATTCCTGTGCATGCCTGCAGACGGCCGATCCCAGGAGGGACAGGTGCTGCTTGTGATTGCATCCTGTCTGCATCCATCCAAGTGCGGACACCAGGACGGATATGCAGTTTGGGTGAGCGTACGGCCGCGTCCACCCATAGGGAAGAACAGGCTGCTGCGCGCAATCACACGCAGCACCTGTCCCTCCCAGGAACTGCCATTTAAGGGTGTGCACGAGGTCTACACCCCCTGTGAACCCCGTGTCAATGAGACCTAAAAATCACAGCTGGTGCCTTTTACCTTTTGGGGGTTTTCTCTGTTAATAAAGCTGGCTCATAAATAAAAATAAAAAAATATTCTGCTCGGTTCTGGATTGGACAGACTGGCTCCTAAATTCCCTATTATGTCCACCCCTCCCCTGGGATATCGAGAGAATTTCTACTAGCTTACTGTCAGTGTTTTGTCAAAATTTTAAGCCACCAGTAATCAGCAGCAATTAAAAAGTTCAATAAAAAAAGTATTTCTAATCTACTAAGAATTAAAATAACAGAATATATACTTTTTTTTATTTTTATTATATTCAAATTATAATAATCAAAAATATACTGTTATTTTAATTTTTAGTAGTTGTAATAATAATTAGTCTAAAATAAAAGTATATTCTTTTATTTTAATTCTTGGTAGTTTAACTTTTTATTATTAATAAACTACTAAGAATTAAAATAAAAGACTATACTTTTATTCCTTAGACTTATTTATTATTATTACCACAAAAATAAATATACTGTATATATTAATACTACAATATTTTATTAATAATGGTTAGTATCCGCTTTTATTT